AGAAGTAGGGCGCCCAACTGTATTACCTCCTTCATGGTAAAGCCGCAGCCACAACTGGGACATTGGCTGGAGGTATTAATAAACACTGCTGGTAAGTTTGGGTCCAGCAGATGGCAACCCCGTGACCTTTGAGTCGATTTCACCACCCTTTCTCTCCCCACCCACACTTCTCAACCTGAAGACTAAAAATCTGGCTTTCCTGTAATTTGCTTTGACATTAACTCAGGGAATAACACTGCTGCTAAGAGATAAACACCAAGGACGGAAGGTGGGAAACAAACATTCCCCAGGAATCCTTACATCAAAGTGACGGATGATGATGATGATGCTATCATGTGCCATTTTTGGCTACATGAAGCCTTCCTTTAGCCTGGGCTTTCCAGAGAAACATCATTGACCTAGATCAGGGTTACAGATCTGCAATACCGGGCTCAGACTGGGGAAAAGAGGTCCCTCCCCTGGACTCTCCACATTACAGGGGCCAGCACCGGCTCTCCTGCTGCTATACCACTTCCCACGGAGCAAGGAGTCCTTAGGAGCAAAGGGATATGATTACCCAGAGCCCTCTGTCTCCTTTTTGGCCATGGTCCATGTACCCAGGACACTAGCATCCCCTGCCTGAGTGGCCCTGAGCTGGCTTCTGGGAGCTGTAGCCCTCTTCCCCTGCTTCTTCCCCAAGGTAGACCAGACCACTGGTATGTGCACCCCTTGACCTGAGGGGTGGCCCAGGGATGGTAGGCTGTGGGGGAGGAGTATGCATGGAACCCCGTCTTGCAGGCAACATGAACATGAGGCTGCTATGGTACAGGAGGAACCATGGGAGGGACAGGATGCAGTCCGAGGGCTGTTTCTCCCTGTGCTAACTTGTGCTAATACAAAGTTTAGAAATATTTAAGAATTCTAAATTCAAACCTCGCCTTCCAGGTAATTAAAAAGATATATTTGTCAAGGTAGGAGAGAAGAATATGTTCTGTTTAACATATTTAACATATTTTGTAAGCTTGATTGATAATGTGTAAACATTTAGACATACGGTGTGTGGCCTCTGTTAGTACTCTTGCCCCAAGCCCTGTGAATTTTAGGGGAAAACCTGCTCTACAAACATACTTTGTTTGGTCTGCAGAGTGTTTTAAAAATTGGGAGATTTCATGTAAACATTCTAATTTGGGCTTTTCTTGACATGTTGTAAGATATGGTAACGCCGGGCCCGAATTCCCACGAGCAGTATAGGGTAGAACCGAGGGGCAGCTGCCTACTTTAGGCCGGTAATCACTTGCTCCTCCGTTTGCCACACTCCCCACCACTCCCGATTTTCCTATGACCAATGAGCTTCCTGTATTTACAGTGCTTGCCTGGGCTCTGAAGGCATTGGAGTATGGGTCAATGCCCCACTGGCATCTTCTATTATCTCTGTCTTAGGTAGGAGGCTGGGACCGACTGTGGTTGGAGGGAGGGAGATCCGTGGCCAAAGCTCTGGAAGTTGAAATCTATTCATAGCTGCCCCACCCCCCACCCCCACAATTCCCCTGTGTGGAGACAAGTCAGCCCTGGCACTCACCCCGGGCTCAGCCTTCTGCTGCCTCTCTCAGACTGATCAGAAAGGAGAAGTAGAACTGCCTGGGGTCACTAGAAAGTGGAGAATGAAAGGGGAAGAGAAGTCCTTGCCGATGGAGACAGTGCACGTGAGCTCTGCATTTTGAGTTCTGACCCTGAGTGTCATTCAGAAGATGCCCAGCCCAGGTCATGTGTCTTCTATGGGGGTTTCTGGGGGAAAATCACAGAACTAGAGCAGGGGCAGGGAGAAAAATCTCTGATTGGAAAGAAGTCTGCCCCAGCCTCTCATGAGAGGCCAGACTCTGACAGACCCGGCTGTAAAAAAAAGCAGGACCTAAAGTTCTGCCTCTTAAGGCTGTAAAAGAAAAAATGAATTCTTTTCAGTGCATGCAACATCTGAAGTGACCATTGGCTTGTTTGTTCTGCTGGTTAACACGGGGGAAGAACCACCAGAAGCCAGGCCCTGGAGAAAATTGATGGGCCAGTCCCTCTTCACCACAGACCCACATCACATCCCCTAGTCCATACTGAGTCCGTGTACTGGAAGAAGAGCCCCATTTGCCAAGTTTTGTTGGGAAAACGAAAGGTTGCAATGCCAGATTCTGCATTGGAATCAACGCTGGTGCTTGGGGAAGGTCTTCTGGGCTGTCTCCAACTGGCTCTGAGCCCAGCTCCCACATATTGGGCATCCACGGACATCGGCTTCAGGGGTGAGGGGCCCAACGGTGGCAACACTCCTTCACAGGCCCTTGAGTTCGACTTCTCCCATAGGTAGGCCACAAGGAGGTCAGGTGACAACATGCAAGGCCCCAGCTTTTCCTGGCCTCTGCAGAGTTTAGTAATCACGCTAGCCCAATGCTGGCATAATCCCAGTGAAGTAGGAGAAACTGGGGAGGGAGAGGTCAGGAGTCGAGACCTTGCTTCTAACCGATCAGAGCTGTCAACTGGCTGGTCGAGGAGGTACTGGCCCGGAAAAACAGGCCTGCGCCTCTCTTTTCCCACATCCCTAGATGGCTGCCCTCAGGGAGACAGGGGGCAGTGGCAGTTCCTCTAAAGGACCAAGGGATAAGACTGAGGGCGGCTGCTGAAGGGGCTGACTCGGATGCCTCCCATGGCACTCCCTGCCGCTTTTGTCCCCAGCTGACTTAGCAGGGACTTCGTGTGTGGGCAGGCCCTGCCATCGCTCTCGAGCAGTGGTGTGGGTAAGGCTGCAGCGTGCAGGCCAGCAGGCACGCGGCCTGGGGCTCTCTGAGGAGCAGGCGGACACTGGAGCAGGGGAACCAGAGAGCACTGGTTTCGGGCTCTGCCAAAATTCGAAGCCTTGAAGACAACTTTATGTTACCTGTGCCACGGCCGCCCTCAAACGGCACTTAGAATGGCAGCCTGTGGAACCTTATAGAGGCAGGTAATGTTTTGTGTGCTGTATCGCAGCTGCCCAAGGGAGGTGGAGTCTTCGGCAGGACGTGTAGCCCCACTGGCGGAGATGTGCTTGTGTCCCAACACCACATGTTGCCCCATGAGAGCATGAGGAAAGCCTTGCCTTACATGTGAGGTATTGCCCTTGCGTTACTAGAATTCCTCGCTCAGGGCCTGGCACACCGCAGTATCCAGGGCCGGCTGTCTGGACGGAGCTGAGTAAGTGTAGTCGTGTGAGTGGGATGTGAGAGCATCAGCCTGAATGACCATTCCACCCAGTGGCACTTTGCACTGGTCCTTCTCGCTAGAGAATTGACCCACTGACAATCTAGAAAGCATGAGGCAATGAGAAATGGAAGGCCATGGTAAGGTGATTTGGGAAGGACAATCAAGAATGTGCTTAGAGGGAGCATTAAAAATTCTTTGAAAAATCCAGCTTCCCAAGTAGATTAATAAACCACAGGAGGGAGGGAGAGGGAGAGAG